AACTGGGTTTATATAGGGGATTATAAGGATTAGGGTTTCCCAAAATTAGGGGTACCATTTTAGGGGGTCCCAATAATACGGACTATAGTATATTGGGGTCTATGTTGGGGTCCCCTTATTTTGGGAAACCACCATATAGCAGCAAAGCAAAATTAGGGTCCCATTTTGGTACCCCTAAATATTAGGCGCCGTAATATAATCTATAACCAAAAGGGGCCCATGATTTGGGAACTACCATTTGTGCAAAGGGCTTGGGGACACAGCATGAGGCATCTTCAAACGCGAACAGCACTCTCGGGTCTACAACGCTCATCAAAATTGTACAGTTCCACCTATACTGCCACACAGCCTGGCCTGTTTGCAGAAACCATACCCAGCAAGGCAGACCCCATCATTTTGCACAACTCCAAACACTCCCTGTTTCAAGGCAGGGGCAGACAGACGAACAATTGTACACCCTAGATCTCCACGCACCGAAGTCCGCACAACAGCGCCCTTTTGCTCCTCCGAATATGCCAGAAGAGAACCGACCGATTCCTACGCAAATGCCGTCCACTGCTGGTGACCTTATAGCAAACCCACAGGACCGGCGAAGATTCTTTTGGAATGCGAAATAGCATATTTATTCAAGGGTGTAGCATCGAAATGCATCGACTTAATTGCCGGGCTCATTGATTGCATGTACTTGTTGAATGCAGTCCTGACCTCTTTTTCATGAGCACCTGTTACAAACGGTGCGCATGGCGTCCCGGCAAGCTTATCCTGAAGTAATCTGAAGTGCAGCTATCACCAGCAACCCTGAGGCTGAGATCTCAAAAAAAAACAGCTGGAGCACGAGACTCTTGCTAATCCTCATCCCGTCTGGGGTTTAGGCCAAGTTTAGGATATACCAGGCAGCCCCGTACAGGCAATGGTGATCTTCTTTATCCATTTTCTAAATGAATATATACATGGGCTTTGTGGGGTTTCAGAATTCTTTGTGTGTGACTGACAGGTGGTGGACCCGCGAAGTCCTCGGAGCACTTATTGCCTGCGTAGCCATGTGTTTAGAGTATACGTATTTCTTAACATTTCTAACGAGCTCTACCCTTACTTAGCATTGGGATCCTCATCATCTCTTGTCAACATGTTCCGCAGCTACGGCTGCACTCGGACAAACAATCGCAGAACCCGAAGAAGGAAAAGGCACGCCATAAGGTAATTTCCCCCACTTCCTGTATCCTATATGATCCCCAATAACTTGTAAGCCTTGTTATAGAACCCCCCAAAAGGGTATCCTGAATGTTGGGCAACCCCCATAAAGACCGCAGCCCGCCCACCTCTACCTGCAGTAGGGCCTGTTCGGCCTCCGGAGGCTACTGGGAGAGTTGGGGGACATAGCACATCCTGGTCAGCATATGTATAGGGTTTAGAGGTTACGGTTTAGGGTAGAAGCCCGAAAATAGACACACCAACCCATTATGAACCTAGCTGCTGAGTCCCCTCACCATCCAGGGTTTGGGATTTATGGTGCTCAGGGTATGACATGATCTCTTGACACAAAGTTGTTCTGGAGGGTATTCAGGTTGTAAAGGATGCTAGAAATGCGACAAATAATTCCCAATAATTATTATGGTCGTGCCTATCTTCTTTTCCATTCCCTGAAATATAAATCCGAAGTAGTAGCTCCCAGAAGATAGCAAGAGAATATCGCAGACCCCCTTCAGGATAGTGAAAAGATCAAGTTGCAAGCTCCCATTTCAAGCAGCCCGTGCAGTCTGGACTGGAATAATTTTGAGGGACCATGGGTTCTAAGCACATCATGTTTTGGAGTGCTTCCTTACCTAGAACATTTGGGATGCTTGTGTTGTCCCTGCATGCTCTGTTTTACTCCAAGCCTTGCCAGCCTATGGTCAGGCCCCAACAACTGCGAGGACCCTCCTTCTACCCTGGAACCTGGATCTCTGAAAGAAAGGTTGGCCAAGAAGACTTCAGGACTCTTTACCAAGCCTGCGAATATGGAATTACCTTTCTTGCGCAGTGCTAGTGAGAACTGCCATTGTGTTCAAAACTCAACACAAGACATGGTAACTAAACCAGAACCTCCTCGAGACTGGGTCCCAAAGCCTGATCTGCAATCCCTCGAGCCTGGCACCCAAAGCTCTGATCATCATGGTGCGTAGTTATAAGCTGCCAGGCATCCCCGAAAAAATGGGACATATTACGTAAGGGATAATGGAAAAGAAAATGGAAACTACTATATTATATAGGGTTCTAACATCTCTTGGCCTCTGCGTTCGCGGCTGCTGCGCTTGTGCGAGCGCGCGCAAAGCTCACAGCCTCCTCGACATCCCGGAGAGATTGCCTTGGCGCTGGGGGGTGGGTGGTGGGTGCATGTTAAAGAATTCCCAAGGCAAGGGCTCAGTTCTTAGGGATTTGAAAGGGGTCTGGGGTTTGGAGGTTCAGGGTTTGCGGGTAGACGTACACGGGCCACATAGCCCAACGCAATGCGGCTTACAGCGGCCAAATAAACCCAATGCCAGGCACCTCAGTAAGTTCAGAACCACTTTAATCGCGGATCCCTTTCAATGTCTTCACTGGCATTGCACGGGAAGTAAAACATATGAGGGGGGTTCTCAACAAAAATTGTGAGCCTCTTTTCGGTGTGGTCGCCAGCTTCGGCAAGACTTACAACAGTGCGGTTTAGAGGGGGCCCGAATCTTCTGAAATATGCCCTTGGGGTCGCATGAGGGCTGCGTGAGCAACTTCCTCTCTAAGGGCCTCACAGGGAAGTATACCTGTAAACTCTCTCCCAAACATGTAGATTGAATCACCCAAGCCCAAAGAACTGCCTAGACCCACAAAGTGGGCTTCTTCCTATCCCTACAGAAGCCCTGAAATTCCCTAAGAAAGAAGTGGAAGATGGCAGAGATTATGCTTCCCCAATTTCCCTTATGGCCTCTAGAACCCCTAGACACCTATGTGGACCCAGTGGCTCTACGGCACTTAGAGCGGCCTCGGCCTCCGACCGCTGCTCCTCAAGGGTCATCTTTGGGAGTAAGGGGACTTGAGGGGTTTGTAGTCTAAGGGCTCGGGATGGAGGATAGGGGAGCCCTAAGATAGAACTCAATGTAGCGTAATCCCCATTAAGGAAAGACTCCCAAACAAAGATCCCTAATGATTCGAAAGCCACATAAAGGATTTGCTAGGTCTCAAAAGAGCAGCAGAGCATTTCAGAATTGTTGGCTGCTTCTATTTGACAACTTGAGCGGGGCACATAGCAGCGATTCCAACATTTCGGCAGCGACCGCACTCGTACTTTGAAAAGTTTCGGGTGGTACGGGTCACATCGATAGTGAGAGGAAGCATGCTGGAATAGATTATACCGCATATCTGCACGAATGTCTGTTGTGAGGGTGGGCTTGGGTAAGCGGAGTTTCAACTCCTCAGTAAGTGCTCCGTCCGGCGCCATGCCGGACCAGCTCCAGGAACACCTCCAATCCCACACCTTGAAACCTGAGCCTCGCCGTTATAGCCGAATGCCTGCACAAAACCTTCCCTGCCAAAATTCTACAAGATTCCACAAGAAGTCGGCAATGAACAAATAAGACGGCAATGTGTCAAAGGTAAGGCCTCCTTACTGGCCCCCAAAGCCAGTAGGATTCTCAGGCTTTTGCCGGGGCTAGACCCTAAACCCTAAAATCTACACCCGAAGTCCTAAATCTTACATCACAAGCCCAAATCCTAAGAGCCCCAAAAGCCCGCCTGTGTCGGGCTGCACTCATCTCCCAAAGGTGTGCACTGGAGTTCCACCTCTCTGGGCCAGCCCTGAGACCCTGTGAATTTTTGGAGCTGTCCTCATGGGAATGCTTACTTATCACCACCTTGAACGACACCCTCACCCCCTCGTAGAGCCTGAGAACCTCTGATAGGAGAGTCCTCAAGAATGTTAGAAGACATTCCCAATGATATCCCTTGAATCTTCGTTGCCCTCTTAGACCTGGAGGTACAACCCAGAACTATACGACACGCACTTTGAGATAGAGCCAGAGACTGCGAGGTGCCCTTGGGTCGTATGCGATTTGCGGGGAAGTCCTGAATTCAGGAGCCTGGTTCTTTAGTTTGGCGACGAATCCAATTGAGGACATAAGCTTTTGGCGATCAAGTTTTGCTTTCTGCAAACGTCCGAGGGAGTGTTGTAATGTGAAATGGCCATGATGGCATCAACACGCTAGAGCAAGAAGACACGTGCGGATGCAGACAGGGCCTTCTAGATTGCTTCTGTCAATCGTGCCAAGCACTACATGAAAAATCGAGAGACAGGCAAGGCAACAACGCAAGTAGTTCAAGTGTGTCAGGACTTGATCTGTTTTGTGGCTGCTGTATGAGACCCACATCATTCGCAAGAGAGTCTGCAAACAAGGCCTGGCTGAGCAACAACGTAAAGGAAACATGCCCATGTGACTCCGCGGGTAGTTCAACCTCAAACTCAAACCCTCATGCTCCGTCTGTGCCTGTTCCACCTCAGCCTCCACCGGCGGCATTCTCCTGGATGCTTGAACATCACCCGGGGCTGGGCTGAAGATTTAAAGCTGAGGTCTGCAAAACGGTTGTTAACAAATCCAGTTTGCAAGAGCCCGCCGGACAGACTGGAACCTCAGTGCGTTTGTCATACACAACGTGCGCAGAGGGGAAGCACTGTCAGCTACTGCTTTAAACAAAGTTATACACTGTTCCAAACAGTGAACTACAAATCCTGCGGGGAATGCTGCAGGGAGCCGTTCCTGAAGCAGTCACATCATGAGAGCGAAGTTGGGAAGTTAGCATCGCCTCTTCGTACATCCGCTGCTAAAACGTGACTCCCAGACTTGCAAAAACCACCCGAATTCTGTCTTTCGGCCTTGACTCCTTGATCTTGAGTTTTCTGGATATGCCGTACCCATTTCACCCTCCCCGCCCCCTTCAACCTAGAAAAAACTAACCCAAACCTTTAGCCAAAGGTCTCGACCACCTGTTCCAGGACCAGCTGCGCCTGCCAGAGCCTGCAAGGGATATTGAGGTCTCATGTTGGACCTGTTTTGCCCCCATCTGTGTTTCGCTCCTCTGAAGCGTACTAGCGTTTTAGGCCGATATGCCGATATCTGAAGGTGGTCTTGGCTGTGTTTCGGCTTTGTGGCAAACAGAGTCAGGGTTTAGGGCCTTTTTGGGTTTTGCAATCAGTGCCCAGAGCCAAAAGAACTGTGGGAGCCCTATTGAAGGTGCATCCTTCAAAATTTCTGCGCTTCCCATGAGGGTCGGCCGAAACTAACAAAAGGCTGACATTGTAGAGTAAGCTCAACAACCCAACACCCGAAACAAAAGTCTGGAACAAGTGACAACAAAGGCTTCGGCGAGATTGTGATGGGCGCGTCGGGTGCCCTCAAAAATTACAAGTTTCGCGGACGGAAAGGAAACCTGTTTAGTTCCGCTTTTTTAGGAGACGAGGCCTATTAGATGAGTGGGGAAACCACAAAAAACAGAATTTGGTGCAAAGGTTTGGTCGCAGCTGCGCGCTGCATCCTCTTCTGGAGGTGCTGGATAAAGGGGTACCCAACAGAACCCCCGCAAGACTATGGGATCCTCTCGTGTAGCTTGCCTTATGGGATGACAAAGCAAAAGCTGCAGGAAATCAACTCTTTGAATAAAGAAAACTATCCAAAAATACTATTCGCCATTCAAAATAGAATGCCAGTATAATTATGTTCGGGATCATTTATTTTTTCTAGGGGTGGCCCGGCTAATGCTGTAGGGCGAGGGGTTATCTTTCGTAACAAACGAAAAGTCGAATAACATGCACCGTTGAAGTGCAACCCTTCCGTACATCCCTTTTTGCATCTGGTCTTTGCCTTTGGAAGCACCAAGCCTAGATCCAGCATCCTAACCACTTGAATCTTAAGCCGCGATCTCCTAAACCCTTACAACACTTAGCACACAAAGCAACCCCTAAGACCTCTCCTGAATCCCTTTGCAAGACAAGCTTGCTGTGCCTGCACAAGTCTAACCCATCATCCAGAACCTTTACCCCCTTCCCAAAACTGACATGGACACCCAGATGGGCTCCTTGAAAAGGACAGCAAGCTTCGTAGGAAGCCTTTTTGGCTTCCATATTAGCTTTGGGGAGTATAGATCCTACAAACACTAAGTACATGTAGCTATACATGTACAAGCCCCACATATCCCTACATATCCAATACCCTAAACCTTAAACCTATAATTACCTTAGGAGGACCCCCCACCCTGTAATAGTGGTATAATAGGACTATAATGGGACCCTAGTATAATCCCTATTATCCCTTATAGTCACTATTACTGGGTGGGGGGTCCACCAAACCTATACCGTGACCCGGTACATTTGCTGAGATGGCCTCTCACCCTGCAAAGCTCGGGCCCGTTGCTCTGTCAGTTTCTGCTGAGCCTGCTGAAGTCGCGCCTGCCTCTGGGGGATTTATGCTGCTGACTGACAAAAAGCCCTGCACGACTCTTTTACTGCTTCCCAAACATTGCAAATTGTGGTAGTTTACTATACCTTGGGTCATGCAGTTTCTTCTGTCATCCGTAGCTTCAGCGCTGTCTTACTTGCTGTTTCTTTGACATTGTTGATTGACACGCAAACAATTTCTGAGCAGCACACGTTGGCATTGAAATCTCTGTCTTTATGCCATGGCAATTTGTTGAGGGCTCCAGCTTTGCAGCTCAGGGGGCAGGGCATGTAGCGCTGGGGCAAGCGGATCAGAAATGTCGAGTGCACCAACATGAGTCATACGATTGCTATGTTCAAGCTGACACAACAGCAACTGTTGGTAGCCAACAGACTGTAGTGTCCAAGCAGTCAAGGTTTCGACTGTTGCCACAGATCAGAATCATGATCAGCATGTCGCTTAGAGCACACTAACAGTTAGACCAACACTTCATCTTCATTATAAGGGCCCCTAGAAATATACCCCTAGTTTTGGGAAACCCCAGTATGGTCCCGTATAACAAGGGTTCATGTCAGCCGAGGCGGACCTGAATCTACCGTTGAGGAAAGACTTCTCGACACTTTATGCCAAAACAGGAAGCCAGTCATTCGCGGGATACTGGAAGAAACTGAGAGAACCACCCACCATTCTGTCTGCTAGCCTTTATGTTGACCGGTGAAATTTGGTGATGTTTATTCTGGCTCCACCAAAACAGACAGAGTCTTTTTCCCAAAAACGCGCTGTGGGAAATAATATCAGGCGTAAGAATGTAAGACGCAAAGAGAATCCTCACCTCCGACTCCAAGGAATCCCATGAGTTTTGGCTCCAGGGTATCAAAACGAATTACTCATGCGGGTTTTCAGAAACTCTCAATGTCGCTGCCAGGGGGCAACTCTTGAAGGCCGGTCGCAAAGGCTGGAACCTCCTGCTAGGAGCTTTGGAGTGGTCTGGCACGCTTACGTAAGGATGCTGTAGGTAAGATATGCCGGAAATTGGTGACTGTTTGCGGGCAATGGTGTAAGGATTCTGTCCATGTCGCTTAATTGAACCTGTGCTTGCTGGTCTGGCCCTACCTGTTAGTGGAGCACAGCGCCAGTAAACGTGGATTCGAAACGAATCCACGTGTGCGGCCTATTGCGCTCGCAATATGCCACTTGCCCGTCAAATCCTAGGCCGGTTCTTGTTGACATGGTCGTTGTTAACATGGTCCACAGTGTATACTATATCCCATCATTCCAGTTTTGATGATAATATACCAAAAAAGAAAGGACCAGGAGAGATTCCTTTTGCACGGACGGTAGAAAGAGGACCCATGATCGATGGTCTTCAGAAACTCCGGAATAGAATGCTTCACAAAGCCTTCTCAAACTCAAGACACCAATGCCGCAAAGCCAAGCCCGACATCATCAGCCTATTGATGGAGACCTTGCAGGACCCGGAGAAAGATATACCCCAGCAACCCTGAACCCTTTTGCATCCAGCCTGCATGATCTCTGCTGGGATGATCCCTGATCCCTAAAGCTCCCAGACCATGTGGCCCAAGGCTTAGGTCCTCCATGTCATGCAGGGTTTTGTCCATCAGCAGCGGGGCTGCCCTGAACCCTAATCTTTGACCACATCCTAAACCCTAGTCTAAATGCTACTGTCAATTCGAATCCTAGACCCTAACTCCACATTCCAATTATCCTAAACTCTGACCCTAAATTCTCGACCCTATCCCACTCCGGCGCCTGATGCCGCTCGCGTGCCTCACGCTCTTTAGCAGCCAACAGCCTCCGCGCAGTCGCAGCGGCGAGGGCAGCGGCCTTTGGGGAAGCTCCATTCTCATCCTTCTTGTTGCTCTAGTACCTGGACCCCAAAAGTAAGTAAAATGATAGCCCAAAACCCCTAGAAATAGTCCAAAACACCATATTTCAACATACCTTTAGCGTTCAGGTACACCTAAATCACCAGCGAGTATTGCTGGGTAATATTGCTAGCTGGTACCACGAGCACTGCTGTGTAAGGCAAGTACTGCCACCACCACGCAATGGGAAGTATTACGTCAACCTGCCGTCTCCCCCAAGATCCCAAACATATCAGGGTTGCAAAGTACTTGCAAGGTAGAACGTGCATATCTATCACTGTCACCTATGGAAGACCATGGTACAAAAACATCGGAAGCGTCACAGTGAGAACAAAAGATGCATAAGAACAGTAAACAGCAGCAAAAAAGACATTGTAGAGGCTTTTGAGGTTTAAGCTTTTACTCCCTATGGATTTGGAGATTCCTGGGCTCTTTAGCTCCCCTTATTATATTGATATAGACTATCCCTAGCTCCTTAGCTCCCAAAGTAGGGTAGTTTACATTACTATAATATTCTAGGTGCGGCCGGAGGAGGCTCGGAGGTCCAACGAATACCCAGTCTGGGCAACTTGCACAGCGACGGGGTAATAGGGATATATAAGGATTGTAAGGAGATACATGGCAATATATTGGAATGTTATATAGAGGTTATAGTTTTTTTGGCTTGGCTGTTGGTAGCGGTTATAGATACCACCACCAAAGTTACCATACCTTGCTAAAATACGGTTTGTTTGCCTGAACATGACTTTGATTATTGACCCCTCAAAGCCTCAAAAGGTTTAAAGTCTGCCTACTCAGCGCGCAAGTCTTAGAAGCCCTTCTGCCCCAACAGCAAAGACCGTAAGTCCTAAATCCTAAAACCCTAAACACCAGCCCTGCACCTTAGATACCCTAAACCCTAAACCCTAAATCCTGAACCCTAAACCCTGAACCCTAGACCCTAAACCCGGAATCCTAAACCCTAAACCCTACACCCATGTGAGCCATTGTCTAAACTCCTGGTATCCCCCTTAATATCCCCTATAGTATTACCCTATATAATCCCCTATNNAGGAGTTTAGATTATAGCTCATGTCCTTTCATCCCTAAACCCTAAACCCAAAACCCGAAACCCCAAAAACCTTATATAGTAGTTTCCATTTTGTTTTCCATTATCCCAATATAGCCCCAACGTAACCCTAATATTACCCCAATGGGTAGCCCTAAACCCAAAACCCATGTCCTTTCATCCCTACAGTCTGTCGCCTTCTCGGTGTCCAGCATTCGCTGCATGGCCTCTCGCAGGCCCTGAGGCTCCGACTGGCCGTCCTGGCAAGTGCGCATCGGAAGGTTTGGGGATTACGGCTAAAGGTTTGGGGGTTTGTTTTTTTAAGGTTTGGATGGGTTTAGGGTATAGGGTTTAGGCTGAGGGTTCTTTCTTTTGGCACCTCTGGCTGGGGGTTTAAGAACTAAGGTTTAGGGTTAAAGCTGAGAGTTCAGCGGCTGGTGGCAAGAGGCTCCACACGTCAGAAGCCCTAAGCAACCCCAATAATCTCCTGAAGTTAAAAAAAAAAAAAAGTTTCCTTTTGGACTCAAACATAACAGGACCGCGGCGGCTCTCTAGCCTTTGAATTTGTAGGGCCCTTTAGTGATTGTTCTGTAGTATGCCCCAGAGAGAAGAACAGGGGTTTTACGGCTTTACAACATGGATGTAGCGTTTTGGAATCTAGGGTTTAAGGTTCACCGGGCTGGCTGAGACAACTTCAGATCAGCTGTATTCATGCAAGGTAACAAGGGTTTAGACTGTCACTACACTATGGCTCATTTTGGGGTAACCCGTTAACATGCCACTCTTCACGTGACACCCTGTTTTAGGGGCTGCCTCTACTCTGTCACGCTACGCTTCCAAACTTTCACTCACTGTAATATTTTCCCTTTTTCCCTACTAGCCATCCAGGAAAATTCTCTGGATTGCAGTTTGGTTTCTCTGGCAGATCCCACGCTCTGTATTTATGGGAGTACAAACACTTTTGCTGCACCAGGGCTCGCACAAAACCAGAATGCGGAATCAATGAGGCATAAGCATGCAAAATGATGACTCCACCACCCGCTGAACTTGTTTGTACATTTGTCTGGCTGCAGACATGGGCATGAACATCACGCAGGCCTCACAGAACATTCTACATCGTTCAACTTCTGGGAGCGTAGAACATAGCTCATAGTGGGTTCCCCTGAGTCCGCTGAATACTTTCTACCATCAATCCCAAGGCCCAAACCCCGTCCAAACCCCATGGCCCCCTCTCCTGAGAAGCAGCAACAAGAGGTGCGCTGGCGTCCAATGCCTTCCTTGCTTCGTTGGGGCGTGGGATGGGGGTCTAACAAGCACTGGGTCCGAGTCAAAGCCCTACTTATTCAACAATATGCCACCACACCACATGGTTGCTACTGCAAGGTACGAAACTATCATACCGGTCTGTAACGACTGGGGACCAGGTCAGTTTCTGCACGGCCTGGCCCAAGTCGAAAGATGCAAAAGCAGGCCTTCAGCACTGAACTCAAGTACATTGGTTTAGGGTTTAGGGTTTAGGGTTTAGGGTTGCCAAATATGAGGGGCGCCCACACAAGGACTGGAATGCTAGTTTGCCGCCTACCAGCATAGGCCAAAAAAAGATCTACAGTTGTGTTTTGAGGTGGAGTATGCCGCCAGTGTATTCTCAATGCGGCAACCGGCTGGCCATCTTACAATGAATTCAGAACCCAAAGTAAGCCAATTTAGGACCAGTATGTGTACAAACCACATTTGGGGTGAAGTCAGGTGAGGCTCAGATGTAGCATTTCTTGTCACACATCATCCATACCCAAGGTAAATACCACAAAGAAATGCTTCTCTTCCATCTGCCAGTTCTTCTGCTCCTTCCCCTAAACATAATCACCTCCTTTGAACAACTTTTACCTACAGATTCTCATAATTGGGCAACATATTTTACTATTAGGGGTGGAGGTGTGTTGGGATGACTGGACCTTCTTCCGGCCATTGATCCGTATATGAATGAATCACCAAGCCCAGAACAACACCCCAAAACTCAGACCACTTCTACCCTGCGGTCTTAACTCTACACACTTTAAACCCACAGACTGTCCTCCCCTAGATATTAAAGCTTAATGATACATTAGCAGGCAAAATCCCTTCTAAGTTCAACCGCTCTCGCAAAAAAATCACAACTCGAAGGCCGTAACACTCGCTTACCTCAAAACCCCCGAACTCAAAGGCTTCAACGCTTGGGGCGACGCGGGTGCAAGCTGGAAGGGTGGACTCTTTCGGGTTTAGGGTTTGGAGTAGACTCTTAGTTCTAAACCCTATACCTAGCCCTAACCTCTCATACTCTTCCCTTGTTTTTAAACCAGAGGCGGAGCCTCCTGGCCAAAGACTCCCCAGCTGGAACATGTGATTAAAAGTACTCTTTGTGCCTGAATAGTACAGCTAAAAAGGGTTTAGGGCTTATTGGGGCCTATGGGGCTTATATATACACGTACATAGGGTGTAGAGGCCTAAAAAACTACCAACATCATTTTGAGGTCCAGTTGTGGTGAATGCGGACAAGAGTCGTTGG